GCCTCTGTGCACGCCCTGCACTTTCCTGCATCCAAAACGGGCTGCATGGAGACTCCTGGGAGGGGTGAGACGGGAGGAGCCAGCCAGGAGTGGGATTTGGGGGTTCTCTGAACTGCACAGAATCTTAGCTAGGGGCTCTCCCGAACCCCTGCGAACCCCCAGCAGCCCACCCTTACATATACTCCTGGGCATTTAAAGCTTTATCTGAAATATTTCCTAACATTTTTAATATCATGTGAATGCAGGTTAACTAAGATTTTTTTTAGTTAACCATTAAGCCTGACAGCTTCATAAAGCTTCACATTTCTTCTTGTGCTACATTAGGAGGATTAAGAAAAATGCTATGATCAAATACATTTAATAAACAACTTTCCTGAATGCATTTATTTATTCCTTTATTTATAAATAAATAAGGTAACTCCGGGAAGCTTACAATCACAACTAATTGTTTACTATTAGGGTGACTACTGTTTCTGTAATTAAATTGAAAACAGGGGATAATGAATACCCTGTTCAATACCTTTATAAATATAATTTTACTAAATCTAAATTACGGTGCCTTTTTAAATTAAACCAAACTATATTTTTAAAATATCTGGGTCCAAACTTGAATTTAATATAAACAAAGAACATGAGAAAGTTCAACTTACTGTACTTGCTCATTTGCTAGAATTACAATCCAATAAATTGATAACTAGTTTTTCAGGAATATCATTTTTTTAAAAAAAATAATCATCAAATTCATCAGCTTTCTTAAACATACTATTCCAAAAATAATGCACACTATGACAGTTAAACATAATTAAGCCTATACTATGGATATAAAACTAAATACATATCAGCATCATTATCTAATTTTTAAGAATTCAGATACTCATATTTTCTCACTTCCAACAACAGTCACTGTCACTCTTATATTGTATGCTCGAAACTGAAAACTACAACTGTACTGAAGGATGCATTTTCATACTATCAACGGTAAATTGTACTAATTTTAAAATAACCTTTTCAGTAGCAAAGAATACTACTAAATATTCTCAACCTACATACAATACTATTGAAACATGAACTATGGTAAATAGTTGTATTTCAGGCAAAGTGTACTAACGTTTATATTTTAGGAATCTTCAGAATTCCTAGAAACTCTGTTCAAAAATCAGTATTCTTCAATTTCCTATTGAGGAGTTTCATCTCATAGGTGGCATAAATGCGACAATCTCCATGTGTTTCAACAGTTAAACTACATCATCAGGTCAACCTATATATTTAAAGTTAAACTTGACAATCGGCACTTCATTCATAGCAATGAAGCAGACACGAACACAGACTAAATGCTTTTCACTGTAATATTCTATAGATAGTGAATGTCTGTTTAACATATTCAATAATAAAAGCTTTATTATTATTCCAACTTAAATACTGGAACAAAGAATTGAAATCTGACATTATTGCAAAACACTTTTTGTAATAATACAATAATTGTATCTAATTATTGTAATAAGTATAATACAAATCCAAAACACTTTTTTCAAAACAAATCGCAAACTTAAAAACAAAAATCAGTAGGCTAAAACATAACTGACCTTGTAGAGAAAGTGGCACAAAGTAGAGGAAAATCAGCAGCAAAAACACATACCAATAGGTTAAAAGCAAGCCTACACTGTATAGTTGATGAATATGGTCAACTGGTTTAAGCTGCAACCCATGCAAATATTTGAAAGAAAGTCTCATTTAGTGAAGTAAAACTTACATGTGCAAGAATCTATAACCCTACAATTTTTTGCAATTTGTAGAAATGTTCTTCCAAGTCAGACCTATATAAATGGCTCTAATAAAAGTGAACAATTTTTCATTTTCTGCATAAACATTAAAATGTGCCAGATCCCCCCCCCCCCCCCCGTCTTTCTAAAATAGGAACATCACAACTGTATAAGCAAGAAGAAATGATGGCAAGTAGAATGAAAAACAGTACAATGACATCACTTTCCAGAACACTGAAACTGAGAAATATCTCCCACTAAAATCAGCTGCTCTCCCTTCCAAATTCAGTAAGCTAGTGCAAGCTTTTTAGTGATCTTATCTCCTTTGTAACAAATTTACACCAAGTGTTGTACATTAAATATATGAAAATAATTTTTAAAAGCTATCTTCTTTATAGCTAATTCTCAACTCCCCAATCATGCTTGCCAACCTGACAAATGCGAACAATGGATCTGATCATTAACCTAATGTAGCTCTCATATTTTTAAAACAATTACAGGTAGTCCTCAACTTATGACTACAAGTGAGCCCAAAATGTATGTTGTTAGGTGAAAAATTTGTTAAGAGAACTTATGTTGCTAAGTGAAAGATTTGTTAAGAGAACTTGTCCCATTTTATGACTTTTTTTGCCACATTTGTTAAGTGAATCACTGCAGTTGTTAAATTAGTAACGCGATTGTTAAATGAATCTAGGCTCTCCACTGATTTTGCTTGTCAGAAAGTCACAAAATGACTCCTGAACACCGCCACTGTCATAAATATGAGTCAGTTGTCGAGCATCCGAATATAAATCACATGACCCCTGGGATGCTATGGTCACAAGTGTGAAAAATGGTCATAAGCAGGGGTGGGTTTCTACCGGTCCTGTCCACCTCTGTAGAACCAGTAGCTCTGAAGAGCAGCAGACATAGAACCAGTTCTATGCTGCTGATGTTTTTGCCCACCTGCGCACCCGGCTCTTACCTGATCTTTATTTCCTGATTTTTCAACTTCAGCTGCCAAACGAGGCACAGCTGCAGTTAAAAAGACAAGAAAAGAGGGCTGTTTCAAAGGCGGCTTCTTGGGGCAGGGAAGCTCGTAAATCCCGAACCAGCAGTTAACTCTTTCGTATCCCACCCCTGGTCATAAGTCATTTTTTTAGTGTCACTGTAACTTCAAATGGTCACTAAATGAACTGCTGTAAGTTGAGGACTACCTGTATACAGAAACATAGTGAAAAACAGCTGTAACTAAAAAGGCTGCCAGATCCAAAGTATTCTGGCCCAAATTTGTATTCCGCCTTTCACTGCACCCAGTGGATACAAAATCAAAAGCAATATTATCCAGACCATCTGACAATGCCTTACCTGAACAGGGACCATGAGATTTAGGACAGAGCACTTTGTAAAGGTGGGGTGTCAAACTTGCGGCCCGCTGGCCGGATGCGTCATGTGCTGGCCCCACCCCCATCCAGTTTAGCAAAGGGGGGAGGAAAGTCCCGATACATCACGTGACACCGCCGAGTTTGACACCCCTATTGTAAAGGGGTTTATCACAGGAAAGGGGGGGGGAGCAGCAAAGCTGCAGCACCTGTTCACAGATAATCCAGTGAGGGTCACTGCAAAACTAAAACCCTCCTCCCATCCTCACAGGGGCCCATTCCCAGGCCTTTGTCCTCTGCTTACCCAGATGTCCTCATAATCTGCAACTTTCAAACATACCTGTACAATAATCATTACAAAACTCATTTCCCCTCCTAGCGAAGCGGAGGGTGAGAGACGTTTAGCAGGAAACATAAGATGCTACGGAGTAGCTCAGCAACATGGGACTCCAGATGTTGGAGTGCAACTCTCCTCCCGCTGCTGCTTTTAAGGCTGCTTGGGAGTTCACCCCCGACATCTGGACAAACATCCTCCCTCCATCCATTTGTAAGGGAATATAAGCCACACGTTTTCTACCCTCTTCGTCCGTCAACGTCTCTCTCTACACACTAATGTCACGCAGAATTAATCACGGGGGGGTTTATTCTTCCCTTTCTCCCCCCCACCCGCCCCGCCCCTAGTCACGGCGGGTGTGTCTTTATGTGTGGACTTTCCTGAGGCGCGGAGCGAAGCTTCGCCTTCTCGGAGCCGCGCCGCGCTCTTCTCCTCCTCCGGGGCGCCGTGACTCACCTGCTCTCTGCGCACCCGGCCTGGTCCTCCCCGCCGTCGGTCCCGCCGTCGCTTCCGCCGCCGCCGCCGCCCTGGGCGGAGAGGGGGGGAGAGGGCGAGGGGGGATTCCGTCCTCCCGGGCCTAAAAGTCGAGCCACACGGGGAGGAAAAAGAGGAGCGCGGCTCGCTCCGAGGGAGGAGACCACCCGACGGCGGCCGCCCGCTGATCCTGTTCGCCGCGGAGGCCAACCGGAGGGGCGGGGGGGAGAGGGGGAGGGAAAAGAGCCGGCCCAAATCGCCCCGATTGCGTCTGCGCGACCAACCTCCTCTTCTCCACACAACGCCCCCCCCCCGCACTTTTGTTTTCTACCACTTCCGGCGCAAGGCGAAACGCCGGAAGCCGCGGCGCAGGCTTTTGACGCAAATGTCAATCAATAAAGGAGAATATTTGTAGCTCGGGGTTGAAATGTGGGGTCCTTGGCGGTCTCTCCGTTGGCTTGTTTTCTTGCTGACGTTACGTTACCCAAACTAGGTAACCTCCTAGTTTGACGTTACTTAGTTTGGGGTAATGAAACGTCTGCAAGGAAACAAGCCAGCTCAGAGAGCGCCAGGGACCCCCTCGGTAAAACGTCAATGCCAAACGTAAAGGCGTTTGAAAGTACGTCATGGCGGGTGCTTCTGGCCTAGCAGTTGGCCGAATTTCATCTCCTCCGGGTTTTTCTTTAGTACTAAAAATCTCCCGGAGGACTTTCGCCATATAGGTGACCCCAGACCTGACCGCCTTCGCGGCCGCGGCCATTGAAAACCGTCGCCAGACCTGAATCCTTTTTATCTACCTTGTGGGATATAAAAAGCCCTCATGGTTCTGCGTGCATTAACCGCAGCAAGAGAAAAGGAGCGCTCCCTCCGAGCGGCGGAACTGACCCACGAATGATAGCATTCTTATATTTTCCCTTCTCCCTTCGGATGTGGAAGCAAAAGGCTCTCTTCACGATTCCGCTCTATGGGCGCCAAAAAAAAAGGGGGGGAGTGCCGCTCTAGCTCTCTTATCTCACTGGTAAAAAGCCCCGAGTGGTTTGATTTCTAGAAACTCCGGAGTGAAAAAATCACGGCTCGGCTTTCGGAAGAGACCGCGCGCTCGCGACTTATACACGCGAAGCGCCCCGAACCCTCCGCCGTCCCCTTGAAGCTCGAGCGGCAACCGCTCCTTTTCCCGCCAAAAGCGCTGGGCCTTGGCTGGAGGTGTGGTGGGGGGGGGGACGGGACTACCGAACAGGCCAGGACTACATTATCCAGGCTGCAGTGTGCTCGCGTTCACGTGACCCTCCCGGCTTGCTTGGTGGGTCCTTCCTTCCCACCAGATGGGAAAATGGCAGGACTGAGCCCTGGGGATCGCTGGGCCGAAGGTAAGGCTCCCGCGCCGATGACGCGGGCCACAGCCCTGGTGGTGGTGGGGGGAAACAGCGTGATTAGGGGGCTTAAATCTTATTAAGGGAGATCGGTGCTCCAAGAGTTCAGGTTACCCAGAGAAGAGAGCTTGTGGGACATCACAGACGGACCAAATCCCATATTGTGGCTCCAGCTTTTTAATCAGAGGGATGGATACGGGGACACTTTTCAAATGAGAAATGCAAGTGGGAAGAAAGGAAAACAGATAACAGATAATCAGAGTTGGAAGGGATCTTGTAGGTCATCTAGTCCAACCCCCCGCCCCAGCGGGAGACCCTACATCATTTCTGACAAATGGCAGTCCAATCTCTTCTTGAAAGCCTCCAGTGATGGCGCTCCCACAACTTCCGAGGGCAAGCTGTTCCACTGGTTGATTGTTCTCACTGTCAGAAAGTTTCTCCTTATTTCCAGGTTAAATCTCTCCTTGTTCAGTTTCCATCCATTATTCCTTGTCTGGCCTACAGGCGCTTAGGAAAATATTTAGAAAAGGAGAGCACTTTAGGAAAGTGATGCTTCTGTTGACAGATAAAGGGTGTATAAAAAAATTGAGCTTGCAAAGTTTGTGAGTTTGCATAGAAAGATATAAATGTCTTCCTTTTGCCTGCACGGTATGTTCAATTGTTCTTAGTTGCGGGGGGGGGGGGGGGTGTTTACCAATGAAGGACAATCATTCACGGTTTGTGCTGCTGTTTCAAAATCAATCGCCTTTGAAAAGCATTTTTTCTTGCAGCAGATAAACATAGCTGCGCTTTGATATGTCTCAGGCAACAGAGGATTGGAGAGCAGCAGGATAATACAGCTGGGTAAAAACAGGAAGATATGTTGCTTGGATGAGAGTTGAGAATGGAAGTTAGCTTTAGTTCTGAGGAGCCACGGATAGATTGTAGGATGCAAAAGAATAATGGAAGGGACAAGAGGAAGCAAAGTTTTGAATTTTGGGGGGATGTTTAACCTATTGCGAGTTTGGGCAAGGGCATATAGCCAAGGAATTGCAATTTATGCAACTACATAGAACTTTAAGGAAAAACTTTCATATAATGTAGTACACTGGGTGTACATGCAGGGCGGCTAGAAATATACCATAAAAAATAGGGTTGTATGAGTTTTTTTAATCCACATTACTAATGAAAATCTTCAGTGGCCGGCATTGCTGTTGGACCACATGTTAGAAATGAATTGAAATTTGCTATAATAAGTTGTCTTTCTGAACCAGAGGAAGAACGTACGTTTCCAACAGAATTCATACTGAGAGACCTGTGTGAACTGTTTCCAAAGATCCAAACCTTAGGTGCTGGTTTCTTGGGAACTGCTGAATTACTGTCCTTGCTTATTATCGTTTCAAAATATATATTTTTAATATTCTTTGAAATTAGCTCTCCTGAAAAAAGAATCAATTGCAAAGTTTTAGAATTTAAGCAAAACGAGATGTGGAGAGGTGGGTGTATCATGATTTTAAGGGACTTCCAGTTTTGATATGTATTTTTGTATGTATTTTATAAGTTAATGGCTCACAATAAAATAGAATATAGGTCTAGGTGTGTCTGGGTCTTTTCCCATGTAAGATTAAGAGTAAAGACCCGAACACACCTAGACCTACATACCTGTATCCGTGAAAATCTACGAAAACAAATTATATATATATATATATATGTATGTATGTATGTATGTATGTATGTATGTTTTCTTAAGTTTTCGCGGGTACTTACATGTATGGCATTCAGCTTTGTTCGGGTATTTTCCCACGTCATTATAGTTGTGCTTTTAAAGCTGTAGCAACGTTTCGGCAGAATCTCATCTGCTATCATCAGGCTTCTGTATTGTGTTCGTCTGTGAGTCAGACTTTTACAGTTGTTTCAGTTTTAAATTTGGGGCTAGCCTACTGCTGTGCCAGAATGTTTTTTTCTTCATCCTGATTGGTTGGGAGTCTTGGTCTGTGTTTATTGGTCTTGGAGTTTGCTGTGTTCTGCTTGATTAGTGTTTCTAATATCTTCTGTCTGTTATGTGGCTTTTTTTGTCTTGGTTGGCTGGCAACATTGTGTTCCTGTATTGGAGGCTTTTAGTGCAGCTTGGCTCCGAGTAAATGGACGGCTATCATTTGTTAGGAAGCTAGGTTTCATCTGGGTGCCTGGTTGGGGTGTGTTTGAGCTGGAGGTATCAGGGGGGATCTGTTTGTGCCCAGGTGTTTGGCTGGCTTGTGGTGTGGAGATTTTTTTGTTTGTGAGTGCAGGTTTCCAGATAATTGACAGTCTGGTGGAGTCATCTCTTCTATTCATGCTTTCAGGTCTTTTTTCAATCTCTATGGCTTCTCTGATAATTCTGTGGCTGGGGTTTTCTATAGTGGCTAGGGTTTTGGTGCCATTGAAGTTGATGCTATGACCTGTGGCTTTCATGTGTTGGACCAGTGAGGAAGTGTGTTCCAGCTTTTTTACTGCATTTTTGTGTTCATCCAGGCGGGTACTTATTCTACTATTGGTCTGTCCAATGTATGTGGCAGGGCATGATGCACAGGGGACTTCATATATGCCTTGGTTTTCCACGTCAATTTTATCTTTGGGGTTTCTAAGGATGGCTGCTATTTTTCTGTTTGTTTTGAAGGCAGTCTTGATGTGATGCCTGTGTAGTATCTTACTGATTTTGTCTGTAGTACCTCTTATGTAGGGCAGGACAGCTGTTCCATAGGTCTGTTCATCTTCTAGGTCTCCATTATGTCTGTCAGACGAACACAATACAGAAGCCTGATGATGGCAGATGAGATTCTGCCGAAGCGTTGCTACAACTTTAAAAGCACAACTATAATGACATGGGAAAATACCCGAACAAAGCTGAATACCATATATGTATGTATGTATGTATGTATATGTATGTATGTATGTATGGTATTCAGCTTTGTTCAGGGAATGTATGTATGTATGTATGTATGTTTTATATTTATATTTGTGCATGGGTATTTTGAAGCATGTCATTTGTGATCCACTTTGGTAAATATACATACATAAGAAGGTTGTCATTGTTTCAGCATTAATTGATGAGCTGAGAAGAAATCCATGTCCATTGGAGGAAGTAAGAAACAATTTTGATTGCTGTGGCTGTAGTGACTGCATGAGAATGAAAAAGGACCGTATGTGTGACAGTGGAAGAAGCCAGTCAACATTTGGAGAAGGCAGCATGACATACACCAAGGAACAGTTACTTGGAGTTCAAAGGTAAATAGGAACTTGCCTAACTAGAATATATTCATACTTATTAGACCTGCAGCCCGTTTAAATAATAAATTTATAAAATTAATCTCTATATTTTCCAATCTGGTGCCCACCAAATAGGTTGAGCTGTGTGTCCTATTATCTAGGCATTGTTCAATTAAATAAATCTGGGAATTATGAAAATTATGGAGCAAGACATTTGGAGAGCTCCTGATTTGGGAAGTTCTGTTCACTCTGGGCATGTTATTTTTGTGGACACAGAATTTCAATTAAATAATGCATTACTGACTTCAGATAATGGCTTACCAAAGAAATGAAATCCTCTGTTTCATTTGGAATGGGGCCATCCATATCTTATATATTGTACAGCAGCTATGCCAGTTTTGAATAACATGGGGATACCATGAAATACTAAAAAGATCTCACATATTTAGAAGAAGTCTCAGTAGAATAGTAGTTGCCCTGTTCTGAATGTGAGATTACAATTGGCTCAGTAAATGCAGAAATATAGCTTGCTTAATTATGCCAAAAGTTGCTAGACGATCCAAGAAGCATAGGACAAGCGTTCTCACTCAAACTTCTGTAGGATCAGAGGCTTTTGTCAGAATTATGAAAGCAGTGTTGTGACCCAAACTCTGCCCATTACATGTGTGACAATGCATGTACAAAAGCAATGGACCTGGCATTACAATAGTGCAACACAGGTTTCATCTTTTGAAACCCCATCTTGCTTCTCATTGTGGGTGCTCACTTTTTAAATTCTCAAAATGTAACTTTAACTTGAACTGCACTCTATGGCCAAGAGCAGCTGAAACCCTTTCTATCAGTGAAGCAAATCTGCAAAGTTTAACAACATTAGAAAAGCACCTTGCTGGATTGGAAGGTATGCTTCAGTATTAATAAGAAGAATCTGTAAGTTGAGACTTCCGATTCGTAAGGCTTCGGCGGCGGCAGGGATTCGCGATACTGCGCGATCCCTGCTGCGCTCGCTGCCAAGGTTCCCCCGATCCGCTTGGATTTGGGGGATATAGCTGCCCCGTAGAGGCAGCTGAAGACGGGGGATCCGGATAGGGGCTTGGGGGTGTCGCAGACCCCCTCCCCAGCCGGCAAAAGCCCCTTTTCCCAAGGCGGAGGAGTGGCGGTCAGCAATGGCCGCCACGAAGAAACCTGCAGCCGGACAAGATTGTGCAGGAGGAAGAAAGTTGGAAGAGCTGTGAGAGTTGTTTTTGACCGGGACAAAGCAAGTGAAAGTACCCTGGAATTTTGAAAGCTGCTAAAAATACATTGTTTCCAGAGAGAGTTACAAGCGGCGAATGGAACTCTAAAAGGGAAAGTTTTGTTTTTTCTTTTTACTCTCCTTCCTAACGTGACAGCGGATGGAACCATAAGAGAAATCGGAAAACCTGCATTGGAGGTAATTAAATGCTGAAGGGATAAGGATTTCTGAACATTTAAAAAAAAAAAAAGAATCTTCTTTGCTGTGAGTGGGAAGGGAGAGGAAAAAAAAATTGGAGCAGAACTTGAAAATAAGGAGAAGATTGCCTAGAACTCTAAAGAATTATTAAACAATAAGACTTCTAAAAGATATATTTTAAATGGAACTTTGTGACTAAACTTTAACCCCAGAAAGAGAAAGTGAAGAAGGAGAAAGTATTTAAAAGAAACAGCTTGTTTGGATTGTTTGGTGATTTTGGAACTTCTGAGAATTATCTCTGATTAAAAGCACTTGGGTGGTTGTTTGGAAAAACTTTTTCTCTCTACAATGGCATCACTTGTGGATGGATTGAAACTTGTATACCAAAAATATGAAAAAGAAAAGCAAGAAGGGAAGGATTCTCTTGGCACTCTTTTTCAATTTTTAGAAATGGCGGTTTGTACTTATGTAAAGCTGAATGCGCAACAGGATGACTGGGACAAAGAAGAAGCCATTTTTGATGAACAAGTGACTTTGGTTGGGGAAGGAAAGGAGAAAGAGAAAAAGGAAAAGAAGACTTTAAGACTTGGAAAAATAACCAAAAAAGAGAAGAATAAGGTGAAAGGGGGATACTATGCTAGAAAACAACAGAAAGGAGGAAAGCAGAATAAAAGGGAGGTGGAGAGACAAGGGGGTAAAGAGGACAAGGAGAAGAATAAGCAAGGGAGAAAGGAAGGGATGAGAAGCCTCAATGGTGGGGAGCAAGATGCAAAGAAACAAAAGTTTTTTAGAGATAATGGGTAAAACTTATTGAAAAAGGGATTCTGGAAAGGTACACAAGATTGTATTTTTACATTTGTACTTAGAAATAATCATAGAAAATTGGAAACAATATGCAATTTAAAATGTGATAAAATATTTAGTATAATTTAGTGAAATTTTTGTTAAGAAAAGGGGAACACTTTAATGAAACAATGATTTAAGATATGTGATGTGGGGTGGGGGAATAATTATGGAAAGCATAAGTGTTCCCATAAAGGCATGATATTTAATTGAAATGGGTAAAATGTTTAAAATATAAATGATTGTTAATATTAATGATTAGACTATGTTACCCTAGTGAAATTTTTTGTGAAATGAGAAATTTGGAGTAGGAGAAGGGGAAGATCCTAATGAAATAATGATTTAAAATATGTGATGTGGGGGGGGAATAACTATGGAAAGTAGGTGCTCCCATAAAAGTATGCGATTTAATTGAAAAGTAATGTGCTAAGTGTTTAAGATATAAATGAATATTAATATTAATGAATAGATTTGTATTGGTATTGATAATATTGTATAATTTTAGAATGTACCAAACAGAATCCCAATGTAAGCTATGTATTCTATATTAAGTATTATAAATGTAGGGGAAAGAGATAAAGGCGTCATACTCCAATTAGTGTACAGGAGAAGTTTTCTTCAAAGAAGAAAGATAAATGGATAGCTGGAAATAGAACAGACAAAGAATAATAAATATTATGATTTGAATTGAGATGAGATAAATTAAATAAAATTAAGAAAATTTAAAAGAGAGGAGAAGCTATATAGAAAATTGAAAATGCTAATAAGATGGAATGGTATATAAAATGAATATGAACTTGAATTTGTGTCTGTACGAAGAGTTTTAACCCGGGACTAAGCAACTTTCAGAAAAGAGGGTTTTTTATGTTTCTATGTTTTGTGTTTTTGTGTGTTTATGATTGATTGAGCTAATAAAACCTTAATAAAACATAAAATGTTAGAAAAGGACAATGGAGAATAAAAGATAGAAGAGAATAAAGCAAGCCAGAAAGGGAAAATAAGTATAGTGAATAAAAACATATAAAATAGATAAATATAGAAAAGAAATATAATTGAATAAAAGTATAGGGAGAAATAATGAGGAATTTGAAAGGATATTTATGTGTTTATAAGGAAATGTGTTAATGATGTATAAAATGTTTTATTTGTTTAAAATTTACAAATAACTTTCAGAAAAGAGGTTTTATGTTTTATGTTTTGTATGTCTTTAAAAATTAATAAAATTTGTTCAAAAAAAAATCTAAGTTGTATTTGGGGAAAAGTTACAAAATTAAAGAATTGTGCTTATTTTGCAGAATAAAGGAGAGTAAGAATTACTATGAAATTCTAGGCGTAGAAAGAGATGCGAAAGATGAAGAACTAAAGAAAGCTTACCGGAAACTTGCCCTTAAATTTCATCCTGACAAGAATTGTGCTCCAGGAGCAACGGATGCATTCAAAGGTAGATGGAACAACTTGAAAGGGACCATAGCAAAATTTGAAGATCTTCCAATGCTGTGTTGGCTAACAGGAAGGGATTTTTAGAACATGTTCCTACATACAATTGTAGCATTGCATAATTCTAACTGAAACACTAAGAAAGATTCTAACGTCGCCACCTCTTTAGGTGTTACTTGCATATTCCTCATATGTATTTCTTTGTAAGCATTTGACGGCAGTGATTGATATAACTTGTCAGATTAACTTTGAATCCTAATCTAGAACATGTGATTTGAAATTCCATATTTGTGTTGCCATTGGACGCTAAAGATGGCTGTGCAGACCATGCATAATTAAGGGAACAGTAAAAGCAAGCACTGTATTGGGATCTCATTCCAAGGAGAATGTGTATCAAGTACAATAATAGTTACCACCAGGAAGGATGTGAAATGAATGCAATCTGTCTCATTTAAAAGTCATTCCAGTATGAGAGATGAAGTTTTTTAAATGCAAGTTGGCTTGTAAAGCCTCTGGTCTAATTCCAATTGTGTTTGTTCATTATTGTGCTAAAAACCAATTTTCAGAAAGAGTTAATTTCCTATTTTCATTTTGTATTAAGATACATACATACATACATACATACATACATACCATGAACAATGTGGCTTCTGGGTATTAATTTTGATATCAAATAATAATAATAAAATTGACAATTTTGATGACCCTACATTAATCATACTCACATCATTCTAATAACATTGTACATAATACAATCATCTTTCAACTTCTTTCCTTTCATCTACCTACTGATTTTGACATGTTATATAATGATATTCAGTCGTATTTCCCCCTTTCTGATTTCTACCTCTATTTCGTATCTTGATAACACCAATCTTATGTTAGTAGTTATTCTATTTCTATCCTTCATCTCTTATCCATTTCAATTGTATTAATTACATTAGTCATACTCATATCATCAGCATAACATTATAAATATGCAATTAAAGTTGTTAACATTGTAATATTTGCTCCACCTTGTGTATAATCCCTCATCATTTAGTTATTCAATATTTTATTACTCAATGCTAATAGCCATGATAACCTTAATATTATTTAAAAGTAATATAATCATCTTTTAGCTTCTGATCCTTCCCTCTATATATTAATTTTAAAACATTATATAGGAATATACATAACAATATTTCCCTGTTTCTAATTCCTACCTCTATTCTAAATCTTGATAGCACATATCTTATATTGGTGGGTATTCTGTTTCTATCCATCATCTCTCATTCATTTTAGTATGTCCGTTCTTACTGATTTTTTGGCATCCTTCCATACTCCTTTACATTCTTATTTTCTAACATCAGACTGGAAATAATAGTTGGGTATTAATACCAATAGGCCTTGCCTATAGAGGAGTTCATGTCATGCTAGAGTAAAATGTTTATGAGAACTAGAAAGGGTCATATCTAAGACACTTCCTTAAATTACATTTCTGTCCAAGACTCAGATTTCTTTCATCGTTGATTTGGTTATCTTTCCCCTGTTCTTCCATGTTATTTCTTCTACCATTACAATTTCCCAATATTCAAATAATAGAATACAAACATTAGACATTTCTGCTGGATGTGGAACAAAAAAGATGTTTTGTTGGAGTTACTTCTATAATATGGCTATGTATTTCATCAGACTTGGTTTCTTTTTTTGATTGGTTTTCTTTATTTTTCTCTTCCACTCTACAGCAATAGGCACAGCTTTTGCCGTTCTGAGCAACCCTGAAAAGAGATTACAGTATGATCAGTTTGGAGAAAAGGAAGATACTTTTTATACCAACGTGCCCAACCACTATAACTATTACAGAGAATTTGAAGCAGATATAACACCGGAGGAAATATTTAATATGTTTTTTGGAGGGAATTTTCCAACAGGTATGTTGTTTTTTAAAGCCATGCTTTAAAGTACAATGAAAGGCACTGTTCAGTCATCTGTACAAGCCTCTGTCCCCTGCTTCATGGGGCCTTTAATTGCTGATGAAGCTCCAGATGCGGTTTCCAAAGTTTCCAAAGAACTTCAGAAACCAATTTGCTATATTTTCTTACAAAGTGCTGTGTATATGTCTACTCAACTATTTCAACTAGACCATGACATTGCACTATAGATCTGTAGGGTAGGAAATATAAAATAGTTTTTCTCAATTCTTTAGGCTGTTCCTACTCTTAATACTACAGTAAGTTTTCTACAATAGCATTGCCTTCCTTTTTTACCTTAGTAAGGCCAAGACGACAGATGAATATTTGATCCTAAGTTCCACATGTAAAATTCTCATTAGATGTTCCCAGTACTAAAACATGCAGCTCCTTGAAAGTCCATTCAGGACAATGAAAACAGCATAGGAAGTTCTCTTTTTTTTGATGGACTGAAAGAGCTCTTGTATTTATTTTAAAAATGCATGTTTGAAATTAGCAATTTAAAAATAAAATGAAATCTTAATTTCTTACGACACAAGCAATACGGGATAAAAATGGCACCTTTGTTCTACTGCTATTTCAACAGGAAATATACATATGTTTTCCAATTCTTCAATGGAGCCCCCATGTTATCCACAGCGGAACAGACATGAAAGGACATGGGACCAGGATGAACAGGAAGAAGAAATTAGACCACAGGTACATGGAGAAGGGAAGACATTATAATCATACATAAACAGTGCTGATTTATTGCCTATCCAGAGAAAAGGGAGCTTGGGGATTTTTTTTGAAGTAGTAAATATTGGAACTATCTTAAAGTGAAGTGATATTTATGAATCTTAGAAGGATCTTAATTGTAACTTGCCTTTTTAAGAAAGATTTTGAAAGCATTTGCAGATTTATAGCCTTATATAAATGTGACTACAAATTCCACTGAACTGCATGTTTCCTTTGGAGGGCCTTTTTTAAATTGATTCAGAGATATAAAATTAGTAGGTGGACGAAGGAATTAATCAAAGTTTAATACAGTTAATACAGTATATCACTGATGAGAAATGAACCGTCAAGGACAAAATCTGTTGAATTATTTTTACAACATGAGAAGTAATTTAATTCTCTGAGCTGATTAACAAAATCTTCGCTGTTTTGTTATAAATGGGGCATATTTAGTTTCTAACTTCTTTGTTACATTCTGACTAAATAACAAGCTGTCCTTTGCATAGCACATTGATCAATTCTGTCATGCAGTGATAATGTACCTTCCGTTGAATTAATTAATCAGACTAAATTCTAAATGGTTCTGCTTCTCAGATCTCCAGTTTTTATTCTTTCTTCTAAAGAAAACTGGAACTAGAACAGGAACTAATTGTAAGCCTAGTACCAAATCTACTCCAAGCCTCTATCAAAGTTTCTGGAACACATTTAAAAAGTACAAGGCAGAAAGAGAAAATGGTAATAATGGAATAATAGGTGCCTTGGATACAATTCTAAACATCTGGAGCACCACTTGAATACCATTGGCATTGACCAAATAACCATCAATCAATTGCAAAAGGCGGCTTTACTTGAAACAGTTTGACATTTAATATTCTTAAATAGCCTATCCTTGGTCCTTGGGAAGGACTCGACAGGCAGACAAAAATGCCAAATCCTGTCTGCCAAATGCCTAAACATCTAGTTGACCAGCCACAATAAAACTTGTATGCTGCTCAACTCTTTATGACTCTGTAGATAACTATTTCATTTTATCTATTTATCATTGTCAAAAAACTAGAAATCCAGACTGACCCCCACCAGGAGCCATCAAATTTACTTGCATCCACAAACAAAACAAGCCTTCCAAAATTGAAAACCACAAGAGATTTTTGGCATAAGATTAAATATTAATGTTTATGTTACGTTTTTGCCAATACTTTTGTTCTAAATTAAAATGTAGCGCCCTATCTGGGATGGTTCTGGTTTCCATTTTCACCATATACTTCTTACATGCTTTACTAACCACAGTTTTCATTTTCAGAATACCTACTCAGCATTTATCCAGTTACTGCCAGTCTTTATTATAATACTTGTATCAGTAGTAACTCAGCTGATGGCTACTAATCCACCCTACAGCCTCTTCTTTAAATCGTAAGTCTAGATCTGTTTCTTTCTGCTCTTGGGAGAGTAGAGGTACTTCTTGACACTAACTTTCCAACAGCAGGTTTAATCTTGGTGCTCAAAGAGGCCATTATATATAAATAGCAGTTAATTTGAAAAGCTTCTTATCTTGGAAAAGGCATACCTATAGGCTATACATTCCAAGTTAAAAGCATTTTTGAAGAGAGACCGTAACTTCCGTGCTGCAAATTATTTGAGGAATAGGACATTAAACCTATAAACATTGCTCTATAGAAAGCAATTTTGTTTTCATTAAAAGTGTGAGTATTTTTTTTTCTTTTATTATCCGAATACATCACATTAAGTTCCACAATGTCTTCACAGAAATCCATTTTCAGCTTAAATATTTTAATGACAAGGGATGGAGAGGAAATGATTAAATAGTTTTTTGTGGTTTTTGTACCGGGCAATTTTAAACAAAAACTAAACAGGAAAAAATAGCCAGTCTTACTTTGTAAGTAGCCACTTTAAATAGAATGTTTTTTTTTAAAAAAAACACTATCAAAGATTATATGGCAATTTAGGGATCTTGGGAGTTGTAATCTCAATATATCACAAGGACCCTGGTTTATGGAAGGTTGCTTCATTGCATATGAAATGTGGTTAGCTGTTATCAGTTACATTTAAAGCAAATAAAAAATGGACTAAACAGAGGCTGGAATTCAGACATTTACTATCTACGATATTAATATCTTTTAAATGATACAGGTCCAGGACACCTGTAGGAATGCTTCCTTCCATATGGTGCTGCATCCTTACTTCCCTGTGTGTAATTCTGCCTGGAGTTACAGTTGTAAATCATGCCAATTGTTAAATGGATCACTGGGTGCCTAATTTTAGGATCTTTTTCACAGTGGTCATTAACTGAATGTAGCAGTCAATAAGCCAATCCGTTTTCTGTAATGGGCTTTTTTTTTTTTTTTTTGGCCAGAAACCTGGAAGTAAACACTGGTTTCTGGCCAAACAATGTTGTAAAATTACAGTCATGTGACTGCAGCATATGCTGCAGACAGGTATAAATGTGGGCCAAATTTCTGAGCATCCAAAATGCAATCATGGCTGGTGTGTGTGTGTGTGTGTGTGTGAGTGAGTGAGTGAGATAGCTGTCAGAATTTTGAATCCGGGTTGTAAGTAATCATAGGGAGGTCTTTTGGAACTTTGAATGGTCATTAAGCAACTGGTCATAAATCAAGGAGTACCTGTATTTTCTTTAGAACAAACTTAATGGGGACAAATTTTAGAATCTTCTAAGCCAGGGGTGTCCAACCTTTCACCTTCCCTGGGCCACATTAGAAGATGAAAATTTGGTTTGGGCCGCACATATAATAAATTATTATAAAATAATTATATTATAAAATTATATAATAAATTATAAATTATTTTTATTATTAATTATTAATTATTTATTAAAAATTATTTTTTATTTATTTTTTATTAATTTTCCTGCCAAATTTTGTGGGGTGGGGGGGAGGGGGGGAAAGAAAGCTCGCCCGCCTCGCACCTACCTCTCCTCCTGCAAATGGCCCGGCTGGATGCGGCAGGACTGGAAGGCGAGGACCGGGAGGCTTGGTGCAGCAGAAGCAGCAGCGGCAGCGGGGGCAGAAGCGGCGGCAGCGGCGGCAGGGGCAGAAGCAGCGGCGGCAGGGGCAGAAGCGGCGGGGGCGGCGGCGGGGGCAGAAGCGGCGGTGGCGGCGGCGGCGGGGGCAGAAGCAGCAGCGGCGGCAGAAGTAGCAAAGGCAGCGCCCGCCTTTTCTGTTGCTGCTTGGCGTGGCGCTCGCCTCGCCCCGCCTCGCGCCTGCCTCCCCTCCTCCTCCTCGCTGGCTCTTGCCAGAAGGTTGGGGTGGGCACTGGGCCACATTACGAGGCGACCTGGGCCGCATGCGGCCCGTGGGCCGCGGGTTGGACAAGCCTGTTCTAAGCAGTTGCCCCAATCTTTGCAGAATCCGTTTCCTGGTATTTTTAGTAATTTTTACAATGGTAGGATTTTAAAGTATTGTATGCCTTTCTGAATTAGGCACAAAGCCAGGGTAGACAATTTTTAAAGGAAAGTTATTACAAATAAAATAACAAAGAGATTTAGCGTGCTAAATTATATTAGTACTCTTACAAAGGCATAATGTTGCATCTTCTCATAATTTCTTTACATGTTCTAGATTGTATGCCTATACCTTTCAGAAATGAGATAATGAAGTTTTTTAAAAAAAACCTTATGATATTTAATTACTGGAAAACTGAAAAATCTGTAATTCTTGTGGGTAGTATTTCAAAGCCTTTATGTTGTGTAAGCCATGACATAAGGGGAGGATTCCGAACTTTATAGGATTATATAAATGGATTAGAACAAAACGATACATTTTATTATGGTAACAGAGTCAAAGGTTCTCCTTCACTGAGGTGTTGGAGCTGCAGGTCAACTAGTCCTGTTTTGTCTTCAAGTCGCATCAGGTAAATACAAACAGTAGCTTCTTCCGGTTAAAAAAGATGTTTTCATAGAAATTTCATAGAATAACAGAGTTGGAAGGGACCTTGGAGGTCGTCTAGTCCAACCCCCTGCTTCAGCAGGAGAGTCTATTCCAATTATTAGCCTCTACCTAGGATTGGACTCACAGCCTCCTGATTGTGAGGCAAGAGCTCCACCTCTAGGCCACTGGAGCTGCTTTTTTTTTTTTTTGATGGAACTTGCAGTTTATTTTAAGGAGTTGGTGGTTTTTCTTTCTGGCTACTTGATGCTTGATGTAGCGCTCCTGATCACTTTACAGGACACAGCTGTTTTAAAATAAACCTGAAAGAAGAGTTTGGAGCCATTTGGAAGACAGGGTGTCAGGCCTGGTTATTATCAGCCATCCTCTGCCTCTGCTAGGACATGTCAGTGATTCCCCTTGCTTGCTTTCAGAAAGCAGGAAATGTTAAACAGAAGTATTAATTGGGGGAAAAAGATATTTCTGGTTTGCAATGAAGACATTAATCTATTTCCTTATTTCCTACTACAGGTCTCTAGGGCACACTGTTGTTAGAGAAACACAAAACCTGCAGGTGCCTTATTACGTGGATAAACACTTTGAAAATAATTATCATGGAGAAGAACTTGAAGAACTTGAAAAACATATTGAGAAAGATTATATCGACTACGTCCAAACTAGTTGCAGGAAAGAAAAACAACAAAGTAAGTTCTTTTCCAAGCATCCTACATTGTTTTCAAATTTAGGTTAAAAAAAACCTCAGAAAGAATCAGCTATAGCCAGCTCTGCTGCCAAGAAAACTATTGTTTAGTAGTGATATAAAGCAAAAATAATAGATAATTCACTCTTTGCCATTGCCTACTGACAACATGAAATCTATGTATTTGATGTTAAGGGTTTGTCTTAATATAATATTTGTCTAAATATTTGTTTATGGTTTTGATACCCCAGCTGTATCAAAAGATTTCTCTAATCACTCAGTTTTACAGCACTCCTGGATGCTGTTCTGCCAGTTTGTATCTAAGAATTATATTCACGTCTAACTTTCTGTGTGTAAGTAGCTTTTCATTTTGACCAAGCCAATGTGAGCCAGGATTTGAAATGTATATAAAATGTGAACTATTATTCCCCACCCACCCACCCACCCCCCAAAAACATGACTGAAATATACATTTCATCTTTCAGAATCAGAGTTATCTAATTTGGCCAAGCTATATCGAGATGAGCGACTGAAACAGAAAGCTGAATCCATAAAACTTGAGAACTGTGAAAAGCTGTCCAACCTCATAGGGATTCAGAGGAGTCACCAATTGGCTGAGGTGTGAGAGAACAACGCTGTTCTGTTGGCAGGAATTAGACTCTCTGTTATAATGAAGAGGAAAGGCGTAACGAGAGAAAAGCATCCCATACAAACCACGCACGGAATCATTATGTTCATGGAAACTGTATATGGACTGAGACATAAAGGCAGCCCTTACTGTAGTGTATACAGTACATTTCGTTTCAAGAGTTATTTCAGTGTTAGTGATTCTTCATTTGCCTTCATTTTGTTATAGTCTTCATGTTGATACTTTGCTGCTGTTTAAGTGCCAATTGGGTACTTTACAGGGTTATAGCCATCATGCTTACTGAGCCTATGGTTTGTCAACTTTTATCTTGCAAGACATCATAGTTAGAAGAGGAAAAGATGGCATTAGTCTTTCATGTATGTATGTAGGTGTATATAGATACATACAGAGGCAGTGCGGATAGATTCATGCACAGACATATATGCTGTACAAAACACGTGCAGTTCAGTTTCAAGAGAACTTCACAGAGCAGTGTCTTAAGGATATATACTGTGTTACGTTGCAATACATAAAGCACTTGGAAAAGCTGAAGTGCTGCCTGAAGATTCATCATCTAAAAACAATATGAAAAAACAGGGAGACAAGACAAAGCAGGAACTGGAGCATTAACCGCTTTTCTAGCCAATGGATGAGGATGGATTAGTATTCCGGTTGCAAAATGAGACTTGTACGCAAAGAAAGAAAACAGCCTTAGGTCTCTAGAGCATGCTATAAAAATGTATTCTGAGAGAAGCCAAACCAGGTGTCCTCACAGATGTCAGAATGTGTGCTAAGTTCCAACTTTTGGCCTAGAGGAAAGTTCTAGGCAGGCCAAGGGAACTTATTTCCATGTAAGTAATAGAGCATTGGGATCTAGGTTACATTTCTGCAAGCCTAAGCTTTGCTATCAATGCAACTTAGGCTGGTTCCTTCCAGGTGAGTTGAGATATCATCTGATCCCTAAACTGAATGTGTGTGGAGGTGCCATCGAAGGAATATGTTATCATAGTAAAGTGCTGGCATCCTGTGTGTTGAATGTTTTGTTTGGAGGGGGCATGCTAAAATCCAGTGCACAAATGTTGGTAAATTCATTTGCAAAGATCTTTTCACTTACGACATAAGCAAAATGGTTATAACTAGAACTACAGGAGAGGGTTCCAGCTGAAGCCTTATTGTTCTCTCAATATTGCCTGATTACAAAGCCTAGAGATAAAATCCATGTCTTTTTAGGGTCTGTTGGCAGGAAGCATTTGGCATAACTTTATTCTACCAATATTAATGGGTAGCCTTATCTGTTGGGCTGTGATAGCATAGCAGCTGTAGGGTTTGCTTTTTGTTCCTCTTGTAAAACTTATGAACAGAGTCAAAAATAATTCCCAACCAAAAGAAAATATACAATACAGGAAGTTCTCAACTTACAACAACCAAGCCCAAAATTTATGTTGCTAAGTGAGACATTTGTTAGATGAATTTTTCCCTTTTATGACTTTTCTTGAGACATTTGTTAAGTGAATCACTGCGGTTAAATTAGTAACACGGTTGTTAAGTGAATCTGGCTTCCCCATTGACTTTGCTTGTCAGAAGGTCGTAAAAGGGCATCACATGACTCCGGGATGCTGCAACGGTCATAAATATGAGCCAGTTGCCAACAGGGGTGGCTTTCTACCGATTCTGTCCACCTCTGTAGAACCGATAGTTCTGAAGAGCACCAGACATAGAACTGGTTCTATGTCTGCTGAAATTTATGCCCACCTGCCCACCCAGGCTCTTACCTGACCTTTATTTCCTGATTTTTTTCAACTTCAGCTGCCACAGCGAGGCACAGCTGCAGTTTAAAAAGTAGGGAAAAAGGGCTTTTTGAAAGGCTGCTTCTCTGCACGCAGCATGCCGATGATGATTTACAGGCGCGCCCGCGCAACGTGCAGGGAAGCACATCGTAAATCACCAAACCTCATAAATGACCGAACTGGTAGTTAACCCTGTCGGATCCCACCCCTGGTTGCCAAGCATTCAAATCTTGATCATGTGAAACAAACGAAGTGTTAAAAAGTTCTGATATTTATGTATGTTACTTACCACACACCCCTAAAGCATATTAAAGTAACCAAATTATATTAAAGCAACAAAAATATCTCTACAATCCCCAAGGAATGTTACAAACCCTTAAGGTTTGGAAATTAAAAGTTGAAAAATTTGATGAGCCATGCCCTAAATTGGGAATGTGGCAACAGTCATAAATGTGAAAAATGGTCATACGTCCCTTTTGTTGGTGCTGTTGGAACTTTGAACGGTCACTAAATGAACTGTTGTAAGTTGAGGACTACCTGTAATCCTGTGAAATACCATTTGGAAAAAAATAGCATTATATCAGGTGATTGTGTGATTAAAGAATTTAATTATTAGATGAAGAGATAAATGTGGCCTAATCCTGTGCTGCATTGTAACATGACTACATAACTGAGTTTTATGAAATTCTGTACTTTCATCAAAGGCAACTAATAGGTATGCTTAAAGGGTTTGTTCTATCACTTTGAGATCCATTGTTTATCTTTAGTGTCACTCTCACAATTCACTTGACCCGCACATCCCAGTGTTGCATCCTTGCTGAAAGGTGCAGGCTTATACAATAAGAAATATTCTTAAGACACCTTTCAGGGCTAAACAGTTCTCAAAGATGGTAACTGATATTAAAATTTGTTTTGAAAGACTTCATCAACTGTGTTTTACAAACGTTTATATTGCAAACTGCAGGAAAACCAAGCTCCTGAATTTTGATATCCAAAATTAATTCTGTATTTTGTCATATGCCCATTTGGCAATAGGTAAATCTATAGCAGATTTTTTGCATAAACTAAAGGCATGGTTCAGCCTTTGTGAAATAGCTTCTTTTTAAATGTTCTTCAGATGTGCATGAGTTCTGAAAAAATATTTATTTTCACATCAAGCACCAATTGTTTATTTATTTATTTAAATGTTTAAGTTATTGGTGATATTTATTTCTCGGAATGTACATATATATTGGCAAAATGGTGATTACATGATAGCATGGAATCATTACTGTATAGTTCACTTTTTTCAGAAAATAGTTAAGATGTGTAACATTCCAGAAGATTAATAAATAAGATGCTTTCCTTATTTAGAGAAAAATACTTTGTTAGAGCAATTTGTGAATTTGAAGTAAAGAGTTTTCCATTAATTTGACCACATTCTGGGGTAATTTCAGTGCATCTGCTGTTGAAAATTTCACCCTTGGATTGAGAAACAAAATCTTGTGTGTTTATGGTGTGTGTTTTATTACACAAATCATTAAATGTAATGCTTTAAAAAGACACCTAGTGGCTCTATTGTATGAAAATTTTAAAAAATGAAATAAAAGATATGAATATCAAAAGTCCCAGTAAGATTTGTTGCGCTTGGGGGGAGGGGGAGGGAGGCTGGATTACTACAATCAAATCCTTACAAATGCTGATTTGTGAGTGATAAAACATCTCATAGAGACATAAGGTGAAATCCAGAAGAAGAAAAAAGATCAAAAACATTAGCTACCTCTAACAGGGCAAAACATTGCCATCAAGCGGATACTATTAAGAAGCCAAAATAAAGTGTTTATTCTGAATCCAAAAGATAATTCAGTTTGCCACAAACTAGGCAACCGCACTTTCTCAAGAGCCGTGTGGTTAGTTTATGGTTGTGTTTCAATGCCATAGTTGTGGGACTGCGTAATAAAACCATGCTTCCTCATGCAGACCCAGGTTGTGAAGAGCTCAAAGGTGCAACGTTACTTGATGTTGATAAAGAATTCTGCAGAATGAGAAGGTAAAGCCAGACAAAGAAAATACAGGTAGTTCTCAACTTACAATGGTTTGTTTAATGACCGAAGTTACAATGACACTGAAAAAAAGTGACTTAGGACCGTTTTTCACACTTACAACCTTTGCCCATGGTCCTCCGATCAAAATTCAGAGGCCTGGCAACTGACTTGTATTTACGATGGTTGCCCTGTGCCAGGGTCATGTGATTCCCTTTTGCGACCTTCAGACAAGCCAAGTCAATGGGGAAAGCAGATTCACTTAACAACAGTGTTACTAATTGAACAACTGCAGTGATTCATTTAACAAATGAGGCAAGAAAGGTCATAAAATGAGACCAAACTCAATAAACATCACTTGACAACTGAAATGTTGGGCTCAATTGTGGGCGTTAAATTGAGGGCTACCTGTAGCAGTCGAGGCGAGAAATGAAATACAGGAACTCCGAGTTACGATCACAATTCAGCCCAAAATTTATGTTGCTAAGTGAAACATTGGTTGTGAGTTTGTCTCATTTTACGACTTTTGCCACATTTGTTAAGTGAATTATTGCAGCTGTTAAATTAGTAACATGGTTGTTAAGTGAATCTGCTTTCCCCATTGACTTTGCTTGTCAGGTCGCAAAAGGGGATCACATGCCCCCAGGACACTGCGACTGTCATAAATGTGAATCAGTTGTCAAGCATCCAAATATAAATCAGGTGACCATGGGGATGCTGCAAGGGTCATAAGTGTGAAAAATGGCCCCAAGTCACTTTTTTTCAGTGACATTGTAACTTGGAACAGTCACTAAGCAAACTATTGTCAGTCGAGGACTACCTTGCCCAGCAAGGAAAGAAACAACCCAACTTTGACCCAAAGGTCCAGTGTTGTTGAGATGAGAAGTGAAACATCTTCAAAGAAAAACCAGAAAGTCCAGTTGCCTCTTGGAAAAAAAGCACCTTCGGGACAACCATGACCTAAATGACTGAGAATCTACATAAGCCTGACAAGAGAATTTGGAATGGAATGGAATGGAATGGAATGGAATGGAATAGAATAGAATAGAATAGAATAGAATAGAATAGAATAGAATAGAATAGAATAGAATAGAATAGAATAGAATAGCTGGAAGGGACCTTGGAGGTCTTCTAGTCCAGTCCCCTGCTCATGCTGGAGAACCTATACCAGTCTTGCACAACCTTTTATCTCCAGACTTATTTTCTGCAATGAGTTAACACTTGATTGGCCTTGTGTCTCCTCAATGTGCAGTTAGTTAGGACAGTTTTACAACTTCCTCTGTTTATGTCACAGGAAAGTTCTACAGTATACATATATACAAACGGACTTTTTTGCGAACAAAGTAACAGTCTTTGCAGCGCTTCTTGATGGTAGTGCACTACCTTGCACTACCATTTGCAGCCTGCCATAAGAGAAAAAGGCCAAAGCTGTGCTTGGTAGCAGGTGGGACAAGCAAAGGAGTGACAGTGACACCATTTGAGCATCTCAGGAACCAGGAAGAAAATGAGTAGGAGATCTTTTCTTTCTTTCTTTCTTTCTTTCTTTCTTTCTTTCTTTCTTTCTTTCTTTCTTTCTTTCTTTCTTTCTTTCTTCTTTCTTTTCTTTCTTTTTCTTTCTTTCTTTCACCTTCCAAATCCAGAGGTACTGGGAGCATTAAGGCGTCAGTGTGTGGTGCAAACCCAGGCCTTCGACTCATTAAGAAGACTTGGGCCTACAGGGCCATCCTCCAGCCACCAAGCAGGTGATACTCAACTAAACACAAATAGCAGGGGCAATTGCTGTGTATTAGCTTTCCTAACCTTCCATTCCCCACTATCCTGTCAGAGCTGAAGAAACTTCTTGGATGAGAAGTGAAATGTCTTCAAAAGGAAGAGAAAAAAAAACCCAGAAAGTCCAGTTGCCTCCTGAAAAAGCACCTTTGGGGCAAGCATGACCTGGATGACTGAGAATCTCTATAGACTTTTAGCTATACAATTTTGGGCTGAACACAGTTGGAATTGGTGTGGGAGTAGGAATGGAGTCCCTGGGGGGGGGGGGGGAATTGCAGACTACAGTACCCAGGAGCACTAGGTATTCAGATCACCCTGAGGACACAGGGTCACTCCAAGTGCTTCAAAGACCCCTAAAAAGAATGCAAATGACCAGCTGCTGTCTGCAAAGTATATCATATAAATTTTTCCATTCCCCACCATCCAGTCAGAGCCGAAGAAGCTTCTTGGATGAGAAGCGAAACGTCTTCAAAGAAAAAAAACAAGGAAGTCCAGTTGCCTCCTGGTGGGGGGGGGGGGAAGCACCTTTGGGACACCTTTTCTGGGGGAAACTAAGCAAAGCGGCGCAATACACTTGGCTCAAACTCGGCCCCTCCCTTTAGGATAGAGAAGAGTTCCATTTTCGAACGGAGAGGAGGAGCTTCGTGCCTATTCAGCCAATAGCGGCTCCCTCGCGAGTGGATTCAAAAAAGCGGGAGTCGCCGCGCCTCTCCCGGTTATTTCCCTTGATGTGTTTCTTTTATCTGACAGCGGGATCGGGCACAGCGTCGCACGGGAGTTTTAGCCGCAGGGACGGCTCTGCGACCCCGAGGCGCCGGGGTCCGAACTTGGATTGGCCGGAGTAGGAAGAAGCCGGCTTTCCATGGCGTCGTCATCAGCGGCAGCCCAACAGTTGAGAGATCTGATCGAGATCCAGGAGGCTTTACTGGATAAACTGAGACTAAAGGTTGGGCTGGAGAGGGCGGGGGAAGGGAGGGGGTTGGAAGAGAGCTGGTCTTCGTGTTGGGCAGCTGCCCTCAAGCGCTGAACTCAGAAGTTTGGGGCTTTTAGTCCTGCATGCTTGAAAATATTGCCCAAGCAGCAGCTGAAAGTGTCTTTGGTCTGGCCAAGGGGCGGGAAGCCCTAACCCTAACCCTACCCTAATCCTAACCCTACCCTAACCCTACCCTAACCCTAACCTGCTGAATACCACCTCTAACCCTAACCCTAACCCTACACTAACCCTACCCTAACCCTAACCTGCTGAATACCACCTCTAACCCTACACCCTAACCCTACACTAACCCTAACCCTAACCAAAACCAATGCTAACTCTAACCAATGCTAACCCTAAACCTAAACCTAACCCTACACTAACCCTAACCCTACACTAACCCTAACCCTATCCTAACCCTACACTAACCCTAACCTGCTGAATACCACCTCTAACTCTAACCCTACACGCTAACCCTAACCCTACCCTAATCCTAACCCTAACCTGCTGAATACCTCTAACTAACACTAACCCTAACCATAACCCTACCCTAACCCTAACCCTATCCTGCTGAATACCACCTCGAACCAACGCTAACCCTAACTCTAACCCTAACCCTAACCTGACCCAGTAGTACTATAAACAAATCTTTAATTATTTTTGCTGAGAGGAGACCATCATCTCAATGATGCTGGTGGGAGCAGGATGGGGATAATGCACCCATCCTTGATCTCTGGAGTGCCTTTTTGATCGCCCCCACCGATACATCATTGACAAGCATAACCAATGCAGCCAATTGAGTGAAACAGTGAGACAGTTTGAGAGGATGCTCTCCTCTCAGCAAAAAAAAAAAAAAAGATTTATTTATAGTACTGGGTTAAATTCAAAGTGTTGGCCATTATATTTAAAGCCCTCTGTGGCTTCGGGGTATCTGAGGATCCAGGCTATCTGAGGAGCTGCGTTGCTCCAATGGGATGTGCCCGCCCCGCTCATGCTGGCAGAAGAGGCAGAATTGCAAACCCCATCAGCCAAGGAATTGCAGCTGGTGAGATCCAGGGGAAGAGCTTTTCTCCGCCATGGCCTCTGCCCTTTGGAACATCTTATAGTTGGGGTTGAGACCCACCCACTTTTCCTGGCCTTCAGGAAAAGCCTTCAAACTTAACATAGGGCCCTGAAGGAGAAGCTGTTGGCTGAGTAGTTGATTCAGTAACAGAAGGCACCACCACATCTCTGCTCCAAACCCGTGTTTCATAGGTAGTCCTCAACTTACAATGGTTCATTTGATGACCGTTTGAAGTTACAACAGCACTGAAATAAGCGACTTACGACCATTTTTCACTTTTGTGACCAATGCAATATTGCCCTGGTCACATGATTTACATTCGGATGCTCGACAACGGGTTCATATTTATGACGGTTGCAATGGCCCAGGGTCATGTGATCATCTTTTGTGAACTTCTGACAAGCAAAGTCCATCCGGGGAAGCCGGGTTCACTTAACAACCGCATTACTAATTTAACATTTTCAGTGATTCACTTAACAAATATGGCAAAAAAAAAAATGTCATGAAATGGGGCAAAGCTCATTTAACAAATTTCTCACTTAGCAACATAAATTCTGGGCTCAATTGTAATCGTAATCCGAGGAATACCTGTACAGTACTTGGTTTTAACCTCTGTCATTTTAATCTGTTTTTATAATTGTTTTCATGTTCATATGTTTTATTATGCTGTAAGCCACCTAGAGTTGCCTTGAACTCTGAGGTGTGCACCGTATAAATTTAATAAATAAACGATAATTGTGAAGAATGCCAAAATGAACAAATGCCCAGGCGTATCTTAAAATGCTACAGTATATCTTGTGGGCACAGGATCTTCCCTATTCACGTCTAACTTGACCTTTTGTTTGGTGAGATCTACATGATATTCCCTTGATCACGTCCCCAGTCGGCTTATGTTGCCCTTAGCTGAACTGCTTCAGGGTTAAAGTTGCATTGTGTAAAATCTAGAATTTTTTTTTCTCTACTCCTTGCCTTGGGAGGGCAATCAGATGTGACCACAGTGACTTGAAACAAATAACCTAGTGCTTGACAAAAGCGACCACAAAATTTCATTCTGGTTTCTTTTTCTGCAAACTCAAGCCTGGAGGCCACTTCAGCAGGAAATATTGTCAATGCTGGTTATTGGGAAGGATTGGAAAATCCAAAGGGACAGGCGGTAGAATTAGCTCCTCCAATAGGGGTATTAAAATGAGCCTTTCACACTGCAACCTTTTGTTAAGAGTCCAGTATAGAATAAATTATAAGTTATGATAAATAGTAGGGCAGTTGTATTCAGAGGCTGTGACTGACCTGTCCTTCAACGTGTTGCCAAAAATGATGGATGACTATGAATTCTGTCTCACCCATAAGGGATGACAGAGTGAGAAAAGGCTAAAGTATGATAGCCATTTCCAGCCATCTCTGGAAACATTGATCATTTGAGCATGTTTTGTCGTTCTTACGATATAGCAATAGCCTGTAGGACACATTTAGACTCTTTAAGGACCTACCCCAGATATTACAAGCTGAGCAGGTCACTTAAACAAATGTCTTTGTTCATGCCACTGTTGCTACAATTACAGTATGCTGAAGAGTGTGGTCAGAAAACTCATCCTCTCATCTGGTTGTCTGTGTTGTGCAAACAGCTGGTGGGTGTGTAGGTTAATTGTTCCTTTGCACATCTCAAGAGACAACATGGTAGGCCTGATGAAAATGGGGATTCTCAAGGCACTCTGTTGTTGCTTTTAGTTTCCTCCTGCGAGCAACGTAATGATTAAAAAAAGATGTACAAGGGAAATGAAGAATTTCTTGACTATCTGAAGAGGTTCTTATCCCATTTGGACCATTGCAGATATTTGTTTTTTGTGTGCATGCTAAATGAAAATTAAATTAAAAAAGGATGTGACTGCTTCATTTGCACATAGTATCAGAGTTAAAAGACCACAAGGACAACAGAGAAAGAACATCCCAAGTCATGCACTTCCACAGACAGTTAATTCACTGGAGTAACAGATTTCTAGTCAGCCATGTAGTGTGAACATAGCTGTAGTAATTTAAAATAGATAACAATTTTTGAAATAAGCAGATTGACTTTATATTTAGATGCACTTAAGTATACTCAGCTCAACAGATCTAACTGCATAAAGTTGAGATCTGATCTAATGATAAGATTCTTATATACAAATAATGATTTACAAAATGTAACTTTTTTATAGATAAACATACAGAAAGCGAACTCAGTAAATAAGGAGGAATATGACACTGTTGTGAAGAAACTAGAGGTGTGTAAGCTTCCATACTAATCTGTGATATTTCTTCTCTTGTGTAAATATAAGGCAGAGATAAGAAAAAATTCTCTGATATCTGAACGTGTATTGTTATTTCCAATGGTAAAAATTAGACTGTAAGATTATAATGGTTTCAGAGTTACCTGAATACTTGAAAGTTGGTGAGAACAAACATGATACATGCTGACTAACATTTAGTCTATAACACACATTCTTCAGTTGTACTTTAATTTGCAGAAAGAAGAGAAAGAACATGCAGAGACCAAGAATACCCTAGCTATAACATCTGAACGCCTGCAGTTTGCCCTAGGAGAGATTGATATTTTGTCGAAACAACTTGAGTGGGAGAAACAAGCATTTGACAAGGCGTAAGCTTGTAACTTGGTGGGGGAAACCCTATGAATAGAAGTGGTTTTACAGTTTTTCTGGGGTAAATTATTTCACCCTCCTTAAGTTAGTCCTCACATAGTCTAATAAGAGCCTTCTCTCACCTTCTGATCCTGCTGGCAGCAGCTACAATAGCAATAGTAATAGCACTTAGACTTACATACCACTTCACAGTGCTTTGCAGCCCTCTCTAAGTGGTTTACAGAGTCAACATATTGGCCCTAACAATTTTGGTCCTCATTTTACCCACCTCGGAACGATGGAAGGCTGAATCAACCTTGAGCCTGGCGATCAATCATTTAAATGCTGGGAAAAACAAAACGTGAAGATATGTAAAGTTAAGGTCACCTCAGTCACTGGTTTCAATAAACTTAAACATACTTCATTGCATTCAATCAGAAGCTATTTGTTTCTGGAAATATTGCCAGCAGATTTAAAACTTACGACAACGTTCTGGAATGTGGCATGTTGTTGGTTAATATTGAGATTAGACTAGGAGTCCCCAAACTCTTCAACTCACCAACCCTCTCATGAAGTATCAGATTGTTCATTGATCTCCAAATATTTATTATATGAAAATAATGTAATAAATGCTATCTTAAATAATAGTTTTGTGAATAGTACTACTAATCACACAGTGACGAATAGTCCCTATTGACCGCTTGGAAAAAGATTTTATTAAACCAAACCTGTTGACAGTCCCTTTCCAGATACTGCCATTGGGCAATGCCCACATTAGGAGCCACATATTAGTAGAATTAATCGATCACAACTATATACAACAATACTCAATGCTACAAAGAACTTCAAATGTGAATTTGAATCACTACAATATAATATTGCACATATGAAATACATCTTGCATATATAAAATAAATGGCAGAAGCTTAAAGGGAGTCCAGCACCAGGAGGACTGACAGAGGCCCTGCTCACAATAACTCCCACCCTTGTAACTTCCACGTTAGACTACTGTAACATGCTCTATGGGGCTGCCCTTGAAGACCATTCAGAAACTCCCAACTGGTATAGAATGCAACCATGCAGATAGTAAATGGTGCCAGATACATGGCACATGTAACACCACTCCAGCATGAGCTGCACTGGTTACCGGCATATTTCCAGGTGCAAGTCAAGGTGCTGGTGTTACTTGTAACGGCCTATCTGGCTTGGGACCAGGGTACCGGAAGAACGGCCTTTTTTCAAGAGTTTCTATCCATCCAACCAGGTCAAGCAGGATAGGCAGGCTGCAGATCCTGTCAGCCAAAGAATGTCCGCTGGTGGGGACCAGAAGACAAGCTTCTTCCTCACTGGCTCCAGCTCTATGGAACATCCTCTCTTCAGAGATTAGTGTGGTCCCAATCTTCTTAGCCTTTCATGAGGCCCAAAATCCTCGCTATGTTCCTGAGGCTGGGCTGCTGAATGTATCAAGGGTCCCTCTTCCTGCTATATTGCTAAGTGCTCCTACATGTATTTAATTTGTATGTTTTTATTGGTCTTACTATTTTATTGTTTTAAAATGTTAACATTTTTAGGTAATATATTTTTTCAATTGTAAGCCACCCAGAGTCATTGACTGAGATGGACAGCCATAGAAATTGAACAAACAAATGATGATCCACTTAAACAACCAGCATGACTTACCACCATAATTCCAGACTCAATTACAGTTGTAAGTTTAGGCCTATGTGTAACTCACATTGCTCTGGAGGTCAGACAATTCGATAGTTTCAGAAATGAATCTGGAAAATTCTAAGTGATATGTATTACAATTAATGTTACCCAAAATACAACCAAAAATGCTTGTCCCTACTTCCTCTATAGTTAATAACTGGTACATCAAATATGTAAATAAAACTTTGTTGTTACTTGTCTTGTAGACTTTCTCAAGTAAACAGTAAAATGCTAAAACAATCACTTCAGAAAGACAAACTTATAAGCAAATGTATAGGTAAGTTTAGCAGAAATTTGAAATGTTTGAAGGGCACATTGATTTTTTTTTAGGGAAACTTCTAAATGCATGCTTTCAAATAGCTTCTATCTTGCAATAAGATCAGTCTGCTTAATATTTTTAGGTACATAACTCTTAAAAATTGCTATGTAAGGTTGGAATTCTAAGGGAATGTTGAGCATTAGGAGGGAAAATAGTACTGCTCATTGAAACTCATAAATAGATTGTACTATACCTTTTGAGACTTAAGAAAACTAAATGATTTCCAACTTCCCATTGTAGAAATTGAAACCCATATTCAAAAGCAGGAAAATATTCTAAGCTGCAAAGAAAATGAAATCGAGGAATTACATTACTTCGTCAACAAGCAAAAGCAAATCTTAAAGTAAGTACCTCAAGCTGAAATTTCTTTCTACTATTCACTGTTGACTTGAGACAAATACTTTAAAATACTTTAGCAAGAGACAAATACTTTAAAATACTTTAGCAAATTCAGTGAAATTGTATTTATCTATTTAAGAGATTTGTATGGCTGCCCCTCTTTTACCATATCTGACTAGTAGGATGGGAAGATAGCCACAGAGAGAGGCAGTCCCATAAATAATCTGGCTTTATCCCAAAGGTTGAATTGCATCTGAAAAGAAGCTGGAAGCCAGTGTAGTTCATCTTGCAACAATATGGCAAACTAAAAGATGTTCAGCATTGTGCATGCTGCCACATGCTACACCTGTTGTAACTTATAGGTGGTCTTCAAGGGCAGCCTCATATAGAGCAGATTGTAGTAATCCAACCAGAAAGTGACTAAGGCCTGAATGACTGAACAAAGCTTCCCAGTCCAGGAATAGGCATAAATGGCTCATAAGATGAGCAAAGATCCTCCTGCCCACAGTTTCCACCTGCTCCATCCCAATTCCTTTGGGCAGCTTTGTTAAATTTTCTTGATATAATCAATTTCTTTCCATTTTAATCCTTTGTTATATGTATATTGTTTGATTTCAAACTGTCCTCTGTCTGTTAGTTCCTTAGTTCTCAAAAGGTAAACCAAAGAAAAAGCTGATGTAATATTTAATGGGTCATAATATTCCTGCTTATATCTGATTTATATCCATTGTTAGTTTCCTAACTAGGTTTCCTGCTTTTTATTCTTTTCACTTCATTTCTATCTGCCTTTATTTTTGACAACTTCCAGTTTGTTTTGATATAACATGGTTTAAACAAGTATATGCTCTTCCCCTTTCTTCAGTATATTCATGAGGTAATATTTAATTCAAAATTGCCATATGTTGTAAAATTACCATACTTTAACAAAATGGCTAAATTAAACATAGTTCTTCTGGATTTCTTAGATGCTGCTGCTGATCACAATTAATAGAAAAGTGTGAGCCTCTTAGCAGTCATACCAAAGCAAGGGAAAATATGATGGATCAAGCCCAGGAGTTGAAGGATTGCTGTAATTCCTTCCTTCCTCCCTCCCTCCCTCCCTCCCTTTTCCGATAATGTATGGTTATTATGACAGCTAAACCAGCTCCATTACTGGCTAAGCACCCATATATTGTTATCTCTGAAGTAGGAGTGATAATAATTCCTTTCAACAATCTGTATATTGGGAATGACATTCATCCATTTATTTCTTTGACTTATTCAGCATATAAAACTCTGCCTGGATACATGATCTGACACCAGCATTATATGGTAGGGGCTCTTATTATATTGTTAATGGTTATGTATTGTTGTTGTTTTGCAGGAAACAAGCATCTGAATTCAAAATACAGATGCAACAAGAAAGTTACATAGCAAATGTACTTGGAAAAAGGCTCAAGAAAAAAATTAAGTAACTACAGAAGTATTCCCTTAAATTACCAGCTTAGGACTGTTTTCTTACTCTAAAGAATTTCCCAGGTTTTCTCACTGAAAAGTTCACAAAATATTAAGTTTTCATTTCTCATTCTGGGCCAAAATTGAATATCCTTTATTTATGCATTTGTATAAAATAGTGGGAATACAACACCGCTATTCTGAAATCCTATTGTTTGAATGTTCTGTTTAATTCCTATCAAGGAACATAATTAATGGTGGGAAGGGCAATAAAACAACAAGACTATTTTATCCCAATTCATTATGTTGTGTGAAATATATGAGCAATTAAATTAGAAGTTTTGGACTTAGTGCAACACTTTTCATTTTAATTGTTCATGTACTTCATATATTTCTTAGTGACTAAGAAATGAGCTTCTGAATTTCTTATCGCTAGAAAAGACTTGAACAGTTCTGCGGATCTGAAAAGTTTTACAGATGAGGAAGAAGCAGCTAAGCAAATATAAAGATCTCATTATGAGATAGGAGCACTCTAACTATTTTAGTATAGTACTTCACAGATTATCACTAATACTTTCTAATTTTCTCTATCTTGGAAAAGGGGTTCTTGGGATTCAGGTAACCAGCTAGTTCTAGATGACATCTCCTGGAAATATGCCCTATTTTGAAGACACTAGACATTGGAGAAGTAATATATTTTGGCTTACCACATTTACAAAACCATATAATGTACCATTTATAGGAGGGAGAGGGACAATAGAAAGTGAAACCTGCTTCAGACAGAAATGGTCAATTTCAGTTTAGTCTCTGCTGGTTGTTTTCCCAGTAAATGTCCACCAACCGGCCTTTATTCCATATATGATCCTCATGAATTGGTTCTCCCAGCTTACTTAGAGCTTACACCCCTGATTTATATGAGTGGCTGAGTTATGTGAGTTGAGAACAACTTTAGGTAACATTTTGGATTCTGGTTCTTCAAAACCTCAGTTAATATATTGTGTTTCCCTTAAATTGTTGTGAAATTTATATGCTTTTTAAAATTAATTCCCGAGCCTTTAAATTTAGCTCCATCAGTGAACTGATCTGACCCAGGGTATCCTGTAGCATGATCTTGGCATGGCTGTAGTGGATTAGCACCTGCTGCTGTTCCTTTGCTACCCCTTTTTTGAAAAAAATAAATAAACAACATACTTTGCTATAGTTTCCACTAAGTGCAGCCTGTTGTGTCTCATTCCACGTGTTGTAAACTGATATACACATATCTATGTTTATCTGCTGGTTGGTTCGAAGAGAAAGAAAAAATACATCTCCTATTTTATGGATATTGAACTTTAGAGGGATATTTTATATAAGGCTTGAAAAGCTATCTTTTAGCTCAAACTGAAACCTTTCTGGTCCCCTCTTTAGGAACAAATGGATGAACCTCTCCATTGTGAATTAGCCATTTTAATCAGTGTCAGGTAAACTTCAGTTAATTATCTGGGCTACATTTCAGTACTGAGGTGATGTTTGGAGAATTGGATCAATAAAGCCATATGACATTTAAATGCTGAAACATTTACAAGTACTCACATTATACTAGTAGTCCAGGTACTTTCAGTGATAATATTAAGCATCTTAATTTTGCATTTACTTATTAATAGAGGCTTTGTTGCTAGTACTGTTTGGAATGAACATTCAACCTTGCCACTGAAAAACATTTTCAATACTTGTATATGAAGAATGAATCAGTCACACTGACAAAGCATAACATGAGAAATTAAACAGAAGATGACATGGAAAGTAAGTAAGAATGCTTGAAATTTCCTTAGTCCTGGTGAATAACATTTAGCCTAAGGTAACCCAAGAGGATTTTTAAAAAGCTATTTTATGAGCATTCAAAATAGTATTGATATTGTATGCACTGCTTCTATTATTTAAAAAAGGCGAAGACTCAACTTGATTCTGTATTTATATGGAATGTCCATCTTGTTTTCAGTCAAGGAGAAATGGCTTGCCCCTGCCTTCTAGAATATATTTGTACTTTTCAGTCTGGTTTATAGAACTGGGATTTCCATGGTCTCCCTTCCAAAATGATATTCATCTTTAACTTCTATGCCCTGTCTAGGTCAGTAAATTCCTATTACATGCTGAGGTAATTTGTTGTAGAACAAAGTCACCTTAAAATGTATTAATCCTATGATCAGAAAAGTGTGTACAGTAATAATTAGAGATGCCACATTTTATGAAACATCTCTCCTTGACAGCATACTCCATATTTGATATGGAGTAGCCAAAAGGGTTCAGAAATTCAGCCAGGTACAGCCAGATTATCAACTTGTAAGCCAACACTGGTGAGAGCAGCTGTGCTTTCATGCTGAGCCACTTCTCTTTCATAAAGTGTCCCAGGATAAGCCAGGAGGTTTCCAGAATCACAGACCAGGTTTAAAAAAATGCATCTATCTTTGCCCCAGTGAGGATATAGTATTCTATTTACCATTTAGAGACAAAGAGCTTCACACTTTCAGCCTGGGAATCTAGGTAATCAAGAGATGGTCATTTGGGGAAAGGAATGTAGAAGCCAGAGTGTGATAAAAAAATCTTTTTATTTGTATGTGCAAAGTTCTGAATAGAAGAGTGGGGTGGGATGTCTCCTCTCTCAAAATGATCCCTGGGAAAGATTATTTGGATGAAAGGACATGGGATCTTGGTTCCCAGGGAACGATTTATGAAAGGATACCGATGAGCTTGCTTTAAACCAAGTGTCTTCAAACTTGGCAAGTTTAAGACTTGTGGACTTCAACTCCCAGAATTCCTGACCTAACATGACTGGAGGAGGAATTCTGGGAGTTCACAAATCTTACACTTGCCAAGTTTGAAGACCCCTGCTTTAAACTTCATTTCACCACATTCAGTGACAGAGATCACAAAGGTCATGTTCTCCATGGCCTACAGAGACCCCCAAAATAGCAGACGGAAGACATCTCTGTGAAAAGCAGAGCCAACAACCATGCTGAATGAAGAACTTATGAATAGACTGGCTCTTTGAAATCTCCAGACAAGGAGAGGACTTGAGTTTGCACACAAGTGTGCTAGATAGTTGCTCCTCATAAGGAGGTTATAAAGTAACTAACTGTCTTTAGTGTGTTTACAACTTTGGGAGATAAGAGTATAACCATCTTGTTCAAACTGCATCGGCACCTTTGAAAGGACACTGAGTTTGCATACTTCCTTTTCTATTCACTTTTGGTAATTGCTTGCCAACTGCTTTTCAGCTATTAGAAACTTTAGGATCAACAAGTTTGACAGCACTGGGTGTATTTCCTTGAATGCTTGGCTAGAGATAGTTTTAAGTACAACCTTAAGAACTGAAAAACAATTTTTAATAAACAACAAAAGGGAGATTAAAACTTTTATTTAGAAAGTTACAAATGGACTAAGAGTCCAGATAAATTGGAAAGATGATTTTGAAATTAATTATAAAAAATCCTTCCCAGAGCAAAATATTTCTGTTTTAAATTTTTAAAAAGTCCGATTTTAAAAATTGGACACTAGAGGGAAGTAAAGATTATAATTAAATAGAACACATCAACTTTTAAAATTGCGGAATTAAGCAAAATATTCTAACACTGGCTATATTGAACGATATTGTTTTTAAAAAATGGATTCAGAAATTCATACTAATAGTATGGAAAGACTGTGTCTAAAAGATGTTATGGAAGAGGAACAAGTTTTACCTGACAAGATCAAGACTGATTGAAAGGGGTTTATAAATGACAGGCTACAAGAATGACATGGAAAAAGATGCTACACCAGACATACGAAAGAAAACTGATGTTTTAATAATTAAGAAATATACAAACAATAAACCAAGATGGTTATACCACTGTGATGGTGCCATAGATGGCATGCAGAGCCCTCTCTGTGGGCATACGCACTGTTGCCAGCTGGTCTTCGAGTTTCTAGTGCTCCGGAGTGCGTGCATGCGTGTTTGCCGGTTTGAGCATTTAGTTCCGAAAAGGTTCACCCTCACTGTTATATACCATCTCATTGTGAGAAAGACTTCTGCTAATGCTGCCACAGATTAAGTGGCCTAAGGCCAAGCCTAACTAGGGCATAAATCTCTTCCTTTGAATGAGATAAATTATCCTTTTTGCCATATATGGCAAGTCCAATACAGTACAATTAAGAGCTCCTGTTAGCAAATTGGATATTTGCACTCTCAGAGCCTTTGTAGACCCACCAAAGGAGCACAGCTTAGATAGCCTCTTCCTGCCCTACCCCATACCAGTTGAATCCAACCCTCCAAGTGACAACTGTCAGATTGAGCTCGCTCTCTCAGCTGTCACAGTAGGAACTCTTCCAAGTGCTGTACATAGGTAAGTGGCAATTCGTTACTATTCCTGTTGTTTTGCCTGGCATGAAAACCTCATGGCATCCAGGGATATGAGAGTTGTGAATAATGACCTATAATTTCTCCAAACAATAAATCAGCTTAAATATCCAACATGGGGCTCTGAGACAGTAATAGCAGTTCAAAGACACAATAATGGAATTGAGGCAAGCGACCATAGCAAGCTGTGCCCATTTTCTCCCCCCCCCCCCCGTAACCAACTGTGCCAGGATTCTCCCTTGTTCCACTGACCTGATCTGAAATTATAAATTGTAATCTAATTAGAGAAGATAATAGCGACAGAAAACTCCTCACTCCATATGGAGCCTGGTTCATCTGCAGTATTGTGGTACCCCTAAGTAGGTGATAAAACCTTTCTGAGAGAGGGTCCTTGCCGTATTCCTTTTTTTTTTTTTTACTACTGGTTACATGGGTGTGGCTTGGTGGGCATGGCACGGGTTGGTGGGCATGGCAGGGGAAGGATACTGCAAAATCCCCATTCCCTCTCCACCCTGCTAGCCTGCTTTCCAGCTCTGTTCTCCTGTGCAGGGCAACAAAAGAAGACCCAGCCAATCAGCTGGGACTCGGGAGGCAGAGAATAGGTGGGGGGCGGGGCCAGCCAGAGGTGGGATTTGCCGGTTCTCGGAACTACTCAAAATTTCCTCTACCGGTTCTCCAGAATTGGTCAGAATCTGCTGGATACCCACCTCTGGTCCTTGTGAAAAAAGGCAGTGCTTTGATGACCAGAGATGATGTGAGCGTCCACTCTCCTAGACTTTCGGAAGTATCTGAAGACCTGGTTCTGCAGATTCGCTTGATGCTTGAAGAAGACACACAAATTTAGGGTCGGTTAGGGTCTTGAAGGTCCCCCCCCCTTTTTTTTCTGGCTCTTTAATGTTAATTACAAGAAGTTCTTGACTTACAACAGTTCATTTAGTGCCCACTGAAAGTTACAACGGCACTGAAAATGTGACTTATGACTGTTTTTTCACATTTATAACCTTTGCAGCACCCCCATGATCATGTGATCTCAATTCAGATGCTTGGCAACTGGTTCATATTTATGACTATTGCAGTGTTCCAGGGGACACGTGATCCCTTTTGCGACCTTCTGACAAGCAAAGTCAACGGGGAAAACCAGATTTATTTAACAACTGGGTTTCTAACTTAGCAACTAAAATGATTCACTTAACAACTGGGGCAAGAAAAGTCTAATGTGGGGCAAAACTCACTTAACAAATGTCTCACTTAACAACAGAAATTTTGGGCTCAATTGTTGTAAGTTGAAGATAGCGTATAATATTCCATTTCTGCTTTAACTGCCTCCTATTGGAACATAGTATTGATATGGGTTTTTAAAATGTTTCTAATTGTCCAATCCCCAGAGTTGCTCTGTGAGTGAAATGGGCAGCCTCTAAATTTGACATATACATGAAATAACAATAACTCTATTGAATGCTACTGTATAGTACACTGAAGATGGTATTTAATTTCGTTGTACGATGTGCAATGACAATAAAGTAAAGTAAATAAATAAATAAAATGTCATGTTTTGCTTGTAACCAGCCAATTGTTCAACTAGTACGGAAAAGAACCCCATGATCACATTATAGGCCTCGTCGTTGGATCAAGCCAGCCTGTAATACTGAGGGTCAGAAGGGAGAGAAAACAAATAATGTTTATAAGCTTATTCAACAAAGCTGGTGAAAGTAACGATAATGTTCTAAGAAAATCAGGGAGTGAAAAAGGATCTCACTTCCTTCCCTTCACAAAGGAGCAGCAACTACATTTCTAGCCTCCCTCCAACTTGCTTTGTTTTGACA